TGGACATGTAGGGAGGCGCCATTTTACATGGAGAATGAGTACAAAATTGAAATGTGTCGTCATCCCAATTGGCGAATTAGTGGTGTCATAGGTTGCAGCATAGGTGCAGGATAGGTACAGGCTAGGGGAAGGCTTTTCTGCATGCATGTAATATGATTGGACATGTAGGGAGGCGCCATTTGACTTGGAGAATGACTACAAAATTGAAAGGTGTCATCAACCCAATTGGTGAATTAGTGGTGGCATAGGTTGCAGCGTAGGTGCATGCTAGGTGCAGGCTAGGGGAAGGCTTTTCTGCATGCGTGTATTATGATTGTACATGTAGGGAGGCGCCATTTGACTTGGAGAATGAGTACAAAATTGAAAGGTGTCGTCATCCCAATTAGCGAATTAGTGGTGGCATAGGTTGCAGCGTAGGTGCAGGCTAGGTGCAGGCTAGGGGAAGGCTTTTTTGCATGCATGTAATATGATTAGACATATAGGGAGGCGCCATTTGACTTGGAGAATGAGTACAAAATTGAAAGGTGTCGCCATCCTAATTGGAGAATTAGTGGTGGCATAGGTTGCAGGCTAGGGGAAGGATTTTCTACATGCATGTAATATGATTGTACATGTAGGGAGGAGCCATTTGACTTGGAGAATGAGTACAAAATTGAAAGGCGTCGCCATTCCAATTGGCGAATTAGTGGTGGTATTGATTGTTGCATAGGTGCAGGCTAAGGGAAGGTTTTTCTGCATGCATGTAATATGAATGGACATGTAGGGAGGCTCCATTTGACTTGGAGAATAAGTACAAAATTGAAAGGTGTCGCCATCCCAATTGGCGAATTAGTGGTGGCATAGGTTGCAGCGTACGTGCAGGCTAGGGGAACGCTTTTCTGCATGCATGTAATATGATTGGACATGTAGGAAGGCGAATTAGTGGTTGCTTACTGTTGTATTGTTCAAATTCAATACAACCTATTTAATCCTACATGTATCAAAACTCTTCTACGCTCAATCACTCAAACATTAGAACATTTAAACATTCAAATAATCAGACACTCAAACACTCAAACACTCAAACACTTACACCTTCAAACATTCAAACATAATGGCCTCTACACCACAATACGTTATCAGTGCACATTTCAATGGTGAGACATACATTTATCCCACCTATGGGTTTTTGTTTAGAGACATTGAGAACATGCGATTTTGTTTAAACAGGAAAGCCAATTTCTTGTGTTTCAAAAAACGATTGGAGGTCAAACTTGGACGAGGTCCCATGACACAAATCTTTTATCAAAATCGGTTTTTTTGTGAGAACCAAATAATACATTATAAGGTTGAGGTTCAAGATGATGAGGACCTTCAAAATATGTTTTCTAGTCATGAGTATTCTGGGTACGACTCTATTGAGTTGTACATTGTGTTGCGGGAGCCTCAGCTGTCACGACCAACTCAGTCACAAATGGTTGATCCTCTCAAAGACAAACAAGCAGAAGTAGATGTCGTTGACAAAGAAGAGGAAGATGACAAGTTAGAGTTTGACGACATGGTCAACAATGATTCTGAAGACGATGGGATACCTGGTATACCTCCGAATGAGATTTACACACCACCTCCATACATGACAAACTTCAACATGGGCGGAAATGAACCGTCATCTAATGTTTTTTTCAATCTGTATATGCAGTCAGATGAAAACTTAAAAGAGAAAGACAAATTTCGTAATATAGAAGATTGTATCCGAGTCATAAAAAAAGTTTCACATGCTAAACTCGGTCGATTTTAAGGCAGATCGTGTAAATCCAGAGAGGTACAAGCCCAGGTGTGTTCACCCAGATTGTATGTTCAGGCTCACTGCATCATACAGGTTAAGAGGTGATTGTTGGGTGATAGGTTATATGTCCACCTACACGTGCGTCAATTCTACTCAATCACAGGATAATCGGAAACTAAATTATGATCTCATATGTCAAGAAATCCTACCCTTCGTCAACAATGATCCGTCATTGAAGATGAAAACCACAATCTCTCACATCACTACGGTATACAACTATACTCCATCATACTGAAAGGCGTGGTTAGCAAAGACTAAGGCGATTGAAAAGGTATATGGAAATTGAGAGGATTCATACAAAGAACTTCTGCGCTACCTGCATGCACTTCAGACGTATTCTCCGGGTACTATATATATTATGGAAACATTGTCGGCGTATGTCCCAGATGGTACTCATGTCACCGGAAATGGAATATTCAGTCGAGTGTTCTGGGATTTTCAACCTTGCATCACAGGGTTTGAGTCATGCAAACCTATTATTTAAATTGATGGGACTTGGTTGTACAGGAAATACAAAGGTACGCTACTGATGGCAATTGCACAAGATGGCAACAATAACATTTTTCCAATTATCTTTGCTCTAGTCGAGGGAGAGACTGGTGGTGCTTGGAGTTTCTTTCTCAGGAATCTCCGAACACACGTGGCTCCTCAACCTGATCTTTGTTTGATCTCTGACAGACATGTATCTATTGAGAGTGCATACAATAATCCTACAAATAGTTGGCATGACCCTCCTTCTACGCATGTCTACTGCATTAGACATATCGTACAAAATTTCACGAGGGAGATCAAAGACAAGGCTCTTAGGAAAACAGATATGAATGCGGAGTATGCATTAACACAACCTACGTTCAAACACTATCGCAACGAAATCAGATTGTCAAATTTGGACGCATGTAGGTGGATCTATAATATTCCGATAGAGAAATGGACAAGGTCATACAACAATGGACAACAATGGGGCCACATGACAACAAATCTTATCGAATCCATGAACGGTGTATTCAAAGGTATATGAAACCTCCTAGTAACCGCTTTGGTTAAATTAATATATTTTAGGATGGCTTCATTGTTTGCTAAAAGAGGTGAAATATGGAATGCGGTCTTACAATCGGGACAACTATAGAGTGAAAGATGCATGAAGTATATTAAGGCAGAAAGGACCAAAGTCAACACCCATCTGGTTATAAGATTCGACCGGCACAGCCATAACTTCATTGTCAAAAAGACAATCGAGCATAACGAGGGGTTGCCAAGACAAGAGTATAGGGTTATACTACTATCTCGTTGGTGCGATTGTGGCAAGTTTTAAGTCTTTCGTATATCTTGCTCTCATGTCATTGCGGCATGTGCGTATACTCATCAAGACACATTACAACTTCTATCTCTTATTTACAAGTCTGAAACCTTGTTCGACGTATACAACAACGGCTTCCCATTGGTAGTGAAACCTGATTATTAACCTACATACGACGGGAAAATAATATGGCACAACGATCAAATGCGAAAGAATAAAAAGGGTCGTCCCAAAAGCAAGCGTATCACAACTGAAAAGGACTCCTTTGACAAGCTAAAAAGAAAGTGTGATTTATGTTGTCAGGTCGGACACAATCGGAAAAAATTATCCCACTCGGGCTACAAGCTCAACAACATAAAAATTGTATACAAACCATCTGCATTTTTTTAAGTTCTAAATATTATTGTTTTTCATTAAGAGCATTTGTTACAACAAACCATACGCAAACAACAAATAAAAACACGATAAAATATCTAAGAAATTACAACCATCAAAACAATTTCATCTGAGCCATGCATTATCACCATTACGTCTCCGTCTGTTATGACTTCCTCCAACCAAAAATTAGGTCTTCCAGTTGCAAGTGAGGTGACTGTTCTTCTTCTCTGGATCCTTCTAATTTATTCTCCATCCTCGATGTCTCCCTCTAGCCATCGTATCAACTCTCTCTTCAGACGCTCCATGGAGTGCATGTGCCAAAATTTCATTTTCATCGGAAGTTTGGTGGCCGAGAAAATAACGTATCCATCTCTGGTGAAAATCATGGAAGATGTCATGACGCAAATAACAGAGAAAAAAATAAGAAGACAATGCGAGAAAGTGTGAAGAATGACATAGAAATGGGTGATTTATTTATAGAAAACACAATTGCACGTAGTAGCCAAGTAAGATGGCGCCTCCTCTCCTTTTTATAGTGCATGTGTCATCTCACTTGACTAAAATAGAGAGCATATGCCAAGTGAGATGACGCCTAGGACAAAAAGCTAGGTGCATGCGTCAACTCAGTTGACTCCTCCTTTGTAAGATTTTCTGAAACATGATTATTTGCGTAATTTTCTCCGAAACATGATTATTTGTGTAAAAAAAAAATTCAATACCTAATTATTGTTAAAAAAAATCAATTTAATGATCTTTTTCATATATATATATATATATATATATATATATATATATATATATATATATATATATATATATATATATATATATATATATATATATATATATATATATATATATATATATATATATATATATATATATATATATATATATATATATATATATATATATATATATATATATATATATATATATATATATATATATATATATATATATATATATATATATATTAATTAATTAAACTAATAATATTCATTTAAGAATTAAATTGTTCATTTGAAAAAAAATGAACAAAGAGTGTTAGGAGAAGTCAATGGAGCTGTTGAAATTATAGAGTTGTATCATGTCACCTCTAGAGCATTATCGATGTGTCAAATCATGACAAATGGTGGAGAGTAAAAAATTTATAAAATATGAGAACAAAACCGGATTTTAAAAATAGACGAATACTTTTTTAAAAATAATGATATTTAAAAAAAAAAAGTATTAGACGTTAAATATAGATCTTTCTTTTGATCCATATTGCAATTATAATTGGTGAAGAGCAACCCTTTTGGTAGAGTGAATTTGAGAAGGGTTAGCAATTTGTATCTTTTCATTGATTAATATAGGAAGTGGCAATTCCACATGAGGTAGCAATACATGGAAGTTTCCCTGTCATACATATTATATGATTGTGTATCTGTTGAATACATATCAGAAAGAGGCAAGTTTGGTTGAGTTAATCAACAAAGTAGAGAGAGAGCAAACGAAATGGATGTGAAGAAAATAGTAGTGGTTGTAGAAGATGTAGATGCAGCTAGAACAGCTCTTGAATGGGCTCTATTAAACATCATTAGATACGGTGACATAATCACACTTCTTCATGTTTATAATTCCAATTCTAACACAAGATCAAAAACTAGAAGTAGAAGCAGAGCTCGTCTTCTTCGTCTCAACGGTTTTCGATTAGCACTTTCGTTTCAAGATATCTGCAACAATTATCCAAATGTATGTATGTATGTATGTATATAACCTGTTGTTGTTTTATGTTAAAATGAAGTGATATATAATGTTAGGAGGATTGTGTTGCAGACAAAGGTTGAGATTATAGTGACAGAAGGGGACCAAGAAGGAACAAAGATTGCTGCTACTGTTAGAGAGATTGGTGCTTCTATGCTTGTTCTTGGACTCCATGATCATAGTTTTCTTTACAAGTAAGTTCTTCATAATCACAATTCTATCAATAATTTTTCAATCTTTTGTCCCTCAATTTTACTAAGGAAAATAGAGATGAAAAATGATATTCAATTCTTTGTTTTGGGTGCATTAATTAAAAAGGTTTATGCCAGTGAGGTAGAAAATTTGGTCACCAAAAGATTTGGCAAATGCATGTGCTTTCAATAAATGGTGCCAGAACATGCCAAATATTTTTGGGATCAACTTTTTTATATCTTGCGTTTACAAGTCACTATCTTCTAACTATGTAAATAGTACTGTCTTTTTTCAAAATTAAGATGATTAATTACTCATTTTTATAATTACAGATTTACAATGGGTCATTCCCCCAACAATTTCAACTGCAGAGTACTTGCCATTAAACAGCCTCATCATGATATTTCATCATCAGTAGCTGTATTAGACAGTTCAACCAACTTTGACTTTTCTCATATTGACATTTCTAGATTACAGTAAGTTTCCTTACAAAATCAATCTTAGTATTAAAATATTGATCATCATGAATGATACTGAGTTATATAATTGAATTGCAGAGTCCCTCATATCCCTTCACCAAAAATTCCATACAGAATATGTCCAAACCCATCTGCCATTATTTGGAGATCAAGAAGAACAAGGAGAAGCTGATCATGGACATTATTTTCAATATTATCCTATAAATAAACACTGTATACAAAACAAGAGTACAATTAATTAACATAGTATAGTTTAGTTTTTTATGTCTTGATAATATAAAAGGATTTGTTACACGAATCTTGGGCAGTGTAGATAATACCCAAGAGGTTATGACATGCCTCACTGACGCATACTTGTTCACGTTCCTCCTGCTCACTGCACGACAACAACTATACAACATATGCCATGAAACCAGTTCAATTATAAAAATTAAGTGCATCTATATTTTTATATTTTTACTGTCTCATTTCCAGCTCCACTTAATATATTACTTCTCTCTTGTTAGCTGTTGCCATCTTTTTACTGTCATATCATTTTTTTAATATTATTCAGACGAGTGATTTCACTTTCTTTGTATCACTATTTTTGTATGAATAAATGTGATTTCACTTTCAATCAAAAGATTATTTGAATTTTTGCATTCTATCAATGAGTCTAGACAAATATTGTACAGCTTTTACAACCTAATAGCAGAGTGCTGTCAAAATAAACTCGGTAAAAAAAATGTGTTTCTAATTAAGAGTTGCCTGCAATCTCATCCAAAGGTCTTGAAGTATGTAGTGAAGTTCCATAGATCAAAATTGGTATATATCTCCAAAGTCGTTTGGAGAGGTAAAGCTAAATAAATAAAAAATCTATTTTGTAACTTTATAACTTTATCTATATCAAATAATGCTCTTGTCCATACTCGCGCACGATCACAGGCACACTTGTAGGAGGAATCTGCAACAAGAAAAACAGACAAGAGACTGTAAGAACTATACATTAGAGTAAAACAATAATAAAATATAATGAGGATGCAAACGTATTGAAAATGTTAACCTTGTGCATCATGTAAAAAAAACAAATAACCCTCCTTGTTCATCAAGAAACTGATTGAGTTTATGAGTTATGGACCAAAAGGATCAGTTGTGCTCATGCATAGAACAAATGGTGTAATTTTCAAGTTATTATATCATAAATAGCTTTAAAAAAACAGATCCATAAGCAAAATAATAAAAGAGGTTTGAATTCTTTAAAATCCACAAACAATGCAGAAAACAAGCACATAGATGACACCTAATTTCAATAGATAGTACCAAATGGTGACACACTGGATAACCCAAAATGTGTTACATCATACACCGATCAACTTACCATTCCATGCTCCGTAACAATAACTGAGACATAATCTGAAGGAGTAACATCGTACCTGTCAATCGAATTAAAAATCAGTCAATCAAATTTTTGGGGGCGGTTCAACTTAACAAAAAAATAAAATATCCAAATCTTACATTAAATTCAAAAGCTGCAAATTCTTTTCATTTGCCCAATTGTCCAGATAATTGATATCCATTCTTCCAGGAACTGTGGCAACAGCACCAGGGTCACCTGCATGCAATTTTATGTTTGTTAAATTTCTTTGCCAACATCGTTTCAAAATAGGGCTACATTTATGTCTGACAGAGCTGGAAAGCTCACAATATAACAGACTGATGCTCAAACTTACCTATTTCGTTGCAACATATTGAATCAAGTAGCACCCTTTCATGAAACTTAAAAGTTTCACAACAGAATAATACAGGAACACGAAATTCATGACCCACCATTGCAATACATGATGTCCCAACCCTTGAAAGTACAGTTCCATTAGAAAGAATAGCAGAAGCTCCCAGAAAAACTTTTGTGACCTCATGCATAATATATGAAACAGCATTTATATGAGTATACGTACAACTCAGACCCTTGGCCATAAGCCTAGTAAGTAAGGCCTGACTTTCAAACTTTGGCCGTGAGTCTACCACCACAACTCGGAATTGTTTCCCAAGATCGTGGGCAGATATGAGAATCATCTCAACAACACCAGACAGTCCATATGTAAGAAGAACATCTCCGTCCCTTACTTTAGCAGTGGCGTGTCCAATAATAACCTTTTCCGCAACAATTATTTTTTCATAAATAAATCGGTCAATATCAGAACAAAGTGCTGCTTTTGCCTCAGCATCAGTATGACTTAAGGGCAACCTGGCAATTCGACTCTTCACAAACCTAATTGCATTTCCCATGCTAATAGAAAGTGGTCTGCATTCACTAATAAAGGAAATATAACTACTGATTTTTGCAGTTAAATCTCTAATAAGTACTTTTTCAGGTGGAGTGGAGTAGTCTATAAGAGCTTCCTGAAATGCTTTAAGCATTTCGATACAACGAGCATTAACCCCTGATATATCTCCGGCCATATAACGTAATCCAACCTGAAAATTGAATAAGCTGATGAGCACCATACCTAAATTGCCGTTTTATATATGTACATTTGCAAATTCATTGGAGTGAAACATAAAAAGGGCTTAATAATGTATGATGAGAAATTAAAAAAAAAAAAAGGAGCAACTAAATTTTCTTAGAAGAAGTAGTGGAGGTCATGTCAAAAAATTTCCAACCCAGATCTGTGTAGGAAGAAGTATTAGTGATGAAGGTTCTAATTTGAGAGAACAAAGCATGACTACTTAGACTAAATATTATTGATAACTCAATATTCATATATACAAGAAATAATAAGAATGTCAAGAAAGCTACTAGAATAAAAAATGGGAGACTGGATAGAAAAGAATAATATTCATTTCGAAAAAAATAAACACTCAAATTGGTCTTAGACCCTCAAAAATATAAAATGTCATCACTCATCAATCTTCCTATGGTTGTCAAAATAAAGATACTGCCTAAGGAGAAGGAGAAAGATCATGAAAGATGTCATATAAAACAAAAATTGTAAAATCTTACCTAAAATTTGAATATACAATTTTTAAACGATAATTTAATTAATTAACTAATATATAAAAATTTAGAGTTCTACTTTTAGTTATTCTGTTACTAATATCTCTTAAGTTTGGGTTGGGATCCAACTAAGATGGACATTTAAGAAAGTGATACAAAAGTGGATCTCCCAGCTCCAGCCGGTTTTGTATGTCTTATTTCTGAGAGTTGGCTTAATTTAGAGTTTGGCCAGGCTATGTTACAACCATCAACTTTAACAGAACATAGAAAAAGGAACCTTTTTTTTATTTATTTCATATACGAGGCTAATGTACCTCAGATGTAGATCTTTAAAGGAATGAAATTGAGAGGCCGTGTCCTATTAGAATTGGTAACAATTATTTTGGAGTACTCATTGTGATGAGTAACTATGGATGACCAAATTGAGGATTTGTCCATTTAAGATGGTCCTCCCATTGCAGTTAAATTACATGTAAGAAAAAATTATGGACTCTAGTGAATGACAACGATAATTTAGTTTTAAGGTTAATGTTAATCTCTATATTTACATTATACTGAACCGTCCATACAAAATTTCAAAGGAGTACCTTGAACACAGCAGGATGCACGGAGTCAAGATGGAAAAGCTTTGACTCAAGATTAGGAACCTGAGCTCCATGTTCATATTGAGGCAAATGCCGAAATAATTCAACTCTGTTTCTTGCTTCAGTTTGATTTACCAGTGCACGCCTTTTAGCTTTTTCCACTCTGTTTTGATCATCATATTGCAACTGTTGATGAGGGGCCTCTTTTTTCCTCTCTTTCTCCAAAGGACGATTCCCAGATTTGTTATCAATAGTGACTGACGATGTAACTGGAGGACCATCTTTCTTTTGTGAAGACTGCTTTTTACTTTTAGTTAGGGCGGCTTTGCCAGATTCAGCAACTGCGGAACTTCCATTAGCTGGATACAGAACAACAATCAAACCAACCACAGACTGCAAAAATAATATGAAGGCATAGAATTCCTGAATATCAGCAGCTAGAAAATAAACTAAGACATTAAGCAGCATCTACTAAAAGATCAAGCTCTGTATTCTCTATTTCAGGGCCAAATTTTGAGAAGTCGATGGCATGATTATTAGAAAATTGATCTGTGTTTGGTGATTTGGTTCATTAAGGAAACAAGAAAGTCCAGTGTAACAAACTGTTGTCGATATTGAGTGAGGATAAAAGCTAAGATTTAACTTCTACAGGAATATACATGATATCAAACCAAAAAATATGTACATTTGAATTCTGAAACATATATCACGTATCAAATCTTCCCCATAAGTTTTACCAAATGCAAAAAAACACAGGTCAGGGAATGAATCTTAAGTATATAACCTTTAGAAGCAGCTTTTTTAGCTCTTTGTGCCTCCTGCACAGCTCGTCTCTCAGCCTTTGAAGTTTTTTCTTTCAATGGCTTTGAAACTGCCAGCGGATCAGGGTATACTTCTTTAACAGCCTCTTCTCTCTTCTCTGCAAGAAATTTGCTAACATCATCAATAGGAGAATAAGACATGCAATATGAATAATCAATTTGTTTAAGAAGCAGTCTAGCTTATGGAAGTAGGAACCAAAAATCTAAAACCCCTATGGTGTAAGAAAAAAAACCCAGGTTATATACTAAAGCATCCCGTCCAAAAACAGAGTGTAAAACATAAGCTGATAGATACAAATACAACAATAACAACAGAATCCCTTTCCCACTAAGTAAGGTTGATTAAATGGATAAAATAACTCCATAATCTACTATCACACGAAAAATGATAAGTAATATAGAAAAATAGATTGAAAAATAAAACCTGGTGCTACAACAGCATTACACTTCTAATTAGGTTTATACCACCTTCATATGGATCACTTTTATTAATAGTTTTTCAACATCAAATACCACCAGATATTCCTGGAAATGGTGATAGATTGACAGCTAGATTAGGCACAAGATTGGCAACTTGCTTCATTATTTTATTAATAATTAAGCAATTGTATAGACTTTTTCATTTACAATGTCCTCTTGTACAAAGTTTAAATACACTTAAAAGAAAGTTTCAAAATATAGATCTCATATTCAGGCAAAGCCGGGAGTTTTTTTCATTGAATGAATTTATAACTAATTTAGCAAAGCCACAAATTGGCAATCATTTCAAGGTTCCTAACCTTTTTTAAATTTAAGATTCGAGTTCTCTAATGCCATTAAGAATGCATTTCATAGAACCCAGGCATTTGAAACAACCCTGTTCAACTGGCTTTGATTAGGCAACAAACTAATAGTCATAATGACAAATTTATGTAAATCGGGACTGACAACTGAAACATCAGAAACCAAAACAGAAAATCTTGTAAGTTATATGTGGTCCTGGCAAGGGCATAAGCATACCCAAGAGCCAGCCTCGATCTGTATTATTTGTACATGATATATTGAGATAAAGGTTCGAGTTACATAATTGTGAAACTGTATATGGAATATGTTTTAATTTTTAAGCAAGAGAACTGGCATTGGTTTGGAGATTATACCATATACAAGTTGTATTATTCAGGTATCTTGAATTTATCATATAAAGTGATAACAAGAATGAGGGAGATCCAAATCACAGTATACAATTCCAAGCCAAGTTAGTGAAATCAAATGAAGAAAAACAATATTTTCAGTAATACAAAGATGACTCACAAGCAAAAAGGAATATTATATTGAATTGGCCAAATTTAACTGTACCTACTACAATGAGTGATAGAAGAAAATCATAAAAAATTTAAAGAAACCCCACTGAAAATGACCTAAACTAAACCTATAAGGCCTTTCAAAAGACTTGATTTTTGGCAAAACACAATAACAATGGTGTTGTTCGGTTCATATACTGAACTCTACCTAGTTGAGAAAGAGTTTAGTTGTTGTACAACAGGCCAGAAACAGAGTAGTCAATGGCGGGCAATAGCAGTGCTATAGTGGGATAGTGCGGAGACCGGTTGCTATGAGAAGAGCCTTGGTGGTGCAGAACATAGTAGCGGCCGCTGTAGGGCAAATAGCGGGGAGCGGGACTGGCCCGCTATCTTTTTCACCTTTGAAAAACTTAACTTACCCCTCAAATTAGGGTTTTCCCATCAAATCATACAATATTCAAGAGCAAGGTGATTTATAAAAACAAATCATACATATCCTAAATTGAATTGAATCACAAAAACAACATACCAGTGCCTCCTGGAAGATTCTTCACATTCACCGTTACAGCAGGAAAGATATTTTCCGCCAAAATTTCACGCGGCAAATCAAACCCTCCGCCAGGGAAACTTAACTCGCTGCCACGAAACCACCCAACACCAGAGCGATCCTCGGAGAACTCTCCGTTAATGAACCCGGCACTGCTAGAAGAAATCGAACCCGTCGGCGAGGGTGCAAGCAACGATTGCGAGGGGTTGTAGCTCCCAACCGGGACCTGATCGTCGAATTCCTGGCGTCGGAACTTGGACTCGGGAACGGGGACGGCGGCAGTTCGTTCGGTAAGCTGACGTGGAGGCGGGATAATGACGGGGGATATCGGGTCGGATTGGGGAGAGCCCGGAAGTGGCGGGGAATCGGGTTCGGGGTGAGCAAAGAAACCAACGCGCCTTACTTTGGGGTCGATAACGACCCGTGAGGCGCGTCGAACGTCCAT